ACACCCCGCAGCAGAACGGCATGGCGGAGCGGGAGATGCGGACGGTGGTGGAGTCGGTGCGGACGATGTTGCTGCACATGGGCGTGCAGCACCACTGGTAGCACCTCGTTCTGCGGCAGGCCGTCTGGGTCCGCAACTGCCTGGAGAGGTCGACACTGTCGCCGGGGACAACGGCGTACCAGCTGCTCACCGGGAAGAAGCCCGACTTGTCGCTGGCACGCGTGTGGGGCTGGATGGCGCAGTTCCTCGTCCCCGAGCAGCAGCGTGGTGGGAAGCTGAAGCCGAAGGCTCGGTGGGGTCTTCATCTCGGCGTGCCAGAGGAGAGCAAGGGCTGGGAGCTCTTCGACATCGTCGACAACAGGGTGGTCACCACGTCGGACGTGGTGTTCTACGAGCACATGTCGTTGGAGGTGTGGAAGTCGGAGCGCGGGCCGGCGTCGGAACGGACGCCGATCACCCCGCCGACGGACACCTCGGCGGCGACGCTGCCTTTGCTCGCCGAGGTCGGTGAGCTTGCTGATGAGGACGCCGAGGTCGTCCATCCTTCTTCCCCTCCCCCTGCACCCCCTGCCCCTCCCCTCGTGGCCGACCTGCGTGGGCTGACTCCAATGTCGGCCTCCGGCGATGAGGGGAGAAGTGGGGCGTCGCCTGTGGCGCCGATTAAGAGCATCGCCGGCGGCCGACGTGACGCCAAGCAAGTCGGCGTGGGAGTCAAGTCGACGCCGACAAGGGAGCAGCGGGCAGAGGAGGTGCAGCCGAATTTGGTGAAGCCGGCGAAGAAGGCACCAGCAAGGCAGAAGCCGACAAGGGAGCAGGCAGCAGCGACGCCGACCACGGAGCAGTCTGCTACTGGGCAGTCGGTAGGGGATCCGACCACATGGGAGAAGTCGGCTGGGACGCCGACTGAGGTGGAGCAGGACGCTGAGGGCAGCGACGCCGGTGATGATGGAGGGGACGCCGAGGAGGCTCAGCCTGGACCACGGCGTACAGGCCGAATTCGGAGGCCACCTAACTACTACGTACCGGCTGCCTTCACCACGGCGTACGACGAGGTCGACGACGACCTGCTGTACGACGACGCCGAGGACGATGAGGAGCTGCCGGAGCTCGACCCCGACATGCACGCCGACCCCGAGCACCGCTGGGACATCTCCACGATGATGGTGAAGGATGCGTTGGCAAGCTGGAAGGGCAAGGCGGTGAAAGCCGCCATGGAGGAGGAGATACGCAGCCTCATCAGCATGGGAACTTGGGAGCTGGTCGAACGCCCACCTGGGGTGAACATCATGAAGAACCGGTGGGTGCTGACGACGAAGTACCGCATCGACGACACCGTTGAGCGCGAGAAGGCGAGGCTGGTCGTGAAGGGCTTCACACAGGTGTATGGCGCCGACTACGACGAGACGTACGCGCCGGTGAGCAGCTACGTCACGCTGAGGATCTTCCTCAGCATCGTCGCCGTGCTCAACCTCAACCTGATGCAGCTCGACATGAAGAACGCCTTCCTGCAAAGCAAGCTCGACCGGGTGCTCTACATGTACCAGCCGGACCACTTCAACGACGGGACCGGCCGGGTGTGCAAGCTGCTGAAGAGCATGTACGGGCTGAAGCAGTCGCCGCTGCTGTGGTACAGGGCACTCGACGCCGTGCTGATGGGCGCCGGCTGAAGGAAGAGCCAGGTCGACGAGGCGTTGTACTTCAAGGTCGGCGCTGATGGTGTGGCCTGCTGGGTGCTGGTCGACATCGACGACCTGCTCGCCGCCAGCTGCAGCCCCGCGATGCTGAAGGAGCTGAAGGAGCTGCTGGAGGCCGCCTTCGAGCTGCGCGAGATCTCGCCGGTGCAGAAGTACCTCGGGCTGGAGATCGTGCGCGACAGGCCGGCGAGGAAGCTGTGGCTGCATCAGCAGGGCTACGCCGACAAGCTGCGCAGGCGGTTCATCGACGAGGAGCAGACCGGGCGCACTCTAAAGACGCCGGTCTCGGTCGACGCCTACGCCGAGCTCACCTTTGACGACGAGGAGGCGCAGGAGCGCCAGGAGGAGGAGTACCGGCAGAAGGTCGGCTCGCTGCAGTTCGCGGCGACGACGACGAGGCCAGACATCGCCTTCGCCTGCAGCAAGCTGGGGAGCGGCCTCACGGTGAGGAGCGACCAGCATTCGCGCGAGGTCGACCGCTGCCTCGCCTACCTCGCCAACACACGTGCCACCGCCCTGGAGTTCGGCGGTGGACCTGAGTCGCTGAAGCTGGTCGGCTACGTGGACGCCGACGACGCCGGGGACAAGCAAAACCGTACGAGCACGGGTGGCTACGTGTTCGTCTACAGAGGAGCCGCGGTCTCCTGGTCGAGCCAGCGCATCAAGTGCGCGACGTTGTCGTCGACCGAGTCGGAGTACGTGGCAGCCACGGAAGCCGGCAAGGAGGGACGCCGCCTTCGCTTCCTCCTTGCAGAGTTCCGGCAGCTGGACGCCGGGACGCCGACCGTCCTTCGTGTGGACAACAAGTCGGCTATCACGGGCGCCGAGGGCATGGGGTTGACGGGCAACCTCAAGCACATGGAGCGGCGACAAGCCTGGCTGCAGCACATGGTGAAGCGCGGGAAATTCACGCTGAAGTACATCCCGACCACCGAGCAGCCGGCCGACTTCCTGACGAAGGCGCTGCACTACCCGGCCTTCAACCGGTGCTCCGTTGCAATCGGCCAAGTGCGCCTGGCCGACGTGGGCGACGGTGACAACGACGTGCAGCAGTAGGTGCCATGCCCTCTTGCATGGCTGGTGCGGTGACCGGCATGCTGTGTGTTGTGTGCACGCCGTTGGGCTATTCTCCGAGTGGTGCTGCCGTGTGGGCTGGGGGCCCAAGCGTGAACGCGGCAGGGGAGTGTCAACAGGAGTTGTGGTTGGCCCCGTCCGCGCTTGGGCGGAGCCGACTTCGTAGTCGGGTGTGTGGGGAGCGCAGCCGATCTGTTGCAGTGAGGGCGCCTTGCTGGAGGACGCCGAGCAGGAGGACGCCGACCTGGGCGCCTGGACGGCGTCCTTGGAGGCTGGACGCTGACCTGGGCGCATGGACGGCGTCTTGGGTGCCTGGACGCCGACCTGGGCGTCTGCACAGTGTCCTGAGCACCAGGACGCCGACCTGGGTGATGGGACACCTCTTCTAGGGACGCCGGTCAGGTGTAGCCGACGACCAACTGAGCTGGGCGACCACGCGTGGTTGCTCAGTCAACCTGGACACCCGGGCGACGTGTGCGAAGGTCGCCGAGGAGGCTTCTGCGAGGCCGACCTCGGAAGTGGTATCCCGAGGTCGACGTGGCTGGTAGGCGCAGTCGCTGGCGTGGACTCGACCTGGACGTCTGCGCTGTGCACGTGACAAGGAGTGGTGCACCAACCAACTGCACGCACCTGCGAAGCAGGTGCACCATTGTCCTGCGGGTGCAACGCTGTGCAGCCGACTTGCTGCAGCGTTGGCACACCGTGGACTTGCAACGTTGGCAAACCGCTACTCTGCAACGCTGGAGCGGTGCGAGTACTGCTGCGCTGGATCGCGGTCGACCATGATGCGCTGGAGGTCGACCAGCAGCCTAGCTAGCTCTGATGTAGTCTGTGTTGCCAATGTTGTATCAACCATTGTTGTGAACTTTTGCTAGTGGAACTCTTGCCAAATTCCCCCGTGAACCAGCAAGTAGTGCAAGCACGAGTAAACGACTAAGTGAACGAACGCAGAGATCACACGAGCATCCGTGCCTAGCCCGTAGTCTAGCTCCCGTTGATTCAGTTATCTCCGCAGGGTCGACCTAAGACACACCTGAGGGAGCACGACCCTGTGGGGGGAGGGGGTCTACCGGAGGGGGACCTGGGACCAGGAAGAGGGGCGGCGGGGGGACTTGAGAAGACGCATGTGGGTGGAGACGGTAGAAGCAGACCGAATCGTCAAAGGTGACGTCCTGTGAGGACAGGACGCGGCGTGAGGCAGGGTGGTAAAACTGCCAGGGCGGGGCGTCGGTGGGGAAGTCAAGGAAGACACAGCGGAGAGTGCGAGGAGAGAGTTTGCCCGCGGTGGTATCGCGGACAAGGGAGAGCGCGCCCCATACCCAAACCGCCGACGCATCGCCAACGTCCCCCGTCCAACGCAGTGTAGGCGAGGTCTCTGGCACAGAGACACGGGGCCAAAGGTTGAGCTGATGCGCAGCGTATCGAACCGCAAACGGCCACAGAAAATGGGGAGCAACCGCATGGATCATGGAGGTGCGAGCAACCTCCATGATCAAGCCAATGAGACGCTCAGCAATCCCATTCTGCTGTGGAGAGGTCGGAAGCGTGAACGACTGGGTGATGCCCTCCGCACGACAAAATTCCTCAAGGAGGCGGGAGGAAAACTCACCGCCTCTGTCAGAGTGCAGTCGCAGGACCTGAAGGTCCTGCTGAAACTGCGCGCTCAGCTGGCGACGAGCAGCGGTGATCTAGGGGACCAAAACACCGTGGACATCCGCCTTGCTCCGCAAGGGGAAGACCGTTGTGTAGCGCGTGTAGTCGTCGACAACCAGCAGAAAGTAGCGCTCCTGTCCCTGTCCACGGACGCGGGCGGGGCCCCACACGTCCATGTGGAGAGTCTGCAGAGGAGCAGTGGTCGGCGGAAACGAGGAGGAGTGAGGAGCGGCGCGCTGCCGCCCCTCGACGCAGGGAAGGCACGGCGGTGCAAGGGAGCGCGGGAGCGGGGGCAGGGACCTGGGGAGGCCAGAGACAAGGAGACGAGAGTGCATGCCACGCAGGCGCGGCAGGGAGGGGTGACCAAGACGGTGGTGCCAGAGGAGAGTCTGGTGCGAGAGTAGCCGACACGAACAAGAAGCAGCTAACTGACCCGACGCAGCCACCTGTGCAGACTCAGTCGTCAGTGTGTACAGTCCTGACCCAGGTCTCCGTGTGAACGTAGCGAGGTGGCGGCCTGTCCGTGAGCACGTACAGATCGCCACCCGCTCACCCCCAGGAGTAGTGGTAGTGACCAACTCATCCTGGAGGACAGCGTTACTCACCAAGTTCATAGAGAAGGAGAGAGCAGGAGGGGACCGCCAGACAATGGAGGACAGTGGAGGCTCGTGCAACAACTGGGCCCCCAGAAGGGTAAGCCAAAGCAACTGGGACAGGTGCTGTGAGCGGTGTGACTGTGGTGCAATCGCGAAAGAAGCACCGAGACGCGCCTGAGTCAAGTGTGAAGGTATGCAAGGCCTCAGCAGAAGCAGTACCTGCGGCAGCAGACTCACAAGCACCTAGAGCAGCAGCCTCTACATGAGCAGCGCGCGGCACACACGAGTAACAGTCACCCTCAACACTAACAGACCCAGCATACATAGCATACATTCCAGCATTGATCTTGTCAAAGTCAAGAGCAAACACATCCACCCCCTTCCCTAGCAATCCTAACCAGTTGGGGATCTCCTGATCATCTCCGTACTCGGTGCGCCAGGCATCCTCGAGACGGCAGAAGCAACGGTACTCAGTGTGCCCAGTCTTCCCGCAGGGCTCACCAGTCCTGAGACCCGTGTGCCTGATGTACGGGAAACGGACACTACCCCCAGAGGAGCCACGCTGGACAACCCACTCACGAAGCTCCTGAGGGGTGCGTGGCTCCTGCTGGCGTGGCTGCTGCTGCTGTCCAACCCCAATGCCTCCGCCGCCACGAGCTGCACCCCCAGTCGCCGCCCCATAGCCTCCGCCCCTGCCAGCTCCACCCCGACCGCCACCCGAGCCCCCTCCGCCCACTCCACCGCCTCCACCACCCCCGCCACCTCCACTGCCGCCACCACCGCCTCCACCCCCGCCACCACCACCGCCTCCACCCCCACCACCACCACCGCCACCACCCCCGCCACCACCCTCGCCAGCGCCACCCCCACCACCCTTACCCCCCTTGCCTTTGCTGCTGCGGCGCCTCCCACTAGGAGCAGACGCAGCACCGACCTCCTCAGTACGAAGGAAGTCAACAGCAGCAGCAGTAGCAACGGAGGGTGCGAGAAGGGAGGGAGAACACCCCTCAAAGAAGGGGGAGCGGGGAGTGCCACGAGAGGCAGCTACAACGATAGTACTGGTCTCGGCCTCGAGGAGATGCTTCTCCGGCAAGGCAAGGGTGAGCTCGGTGGGGTCAAGAGCAAGGAAGTTATCCCTAACGGCGCGGCGGGAGTCAGGGAGGCGAGTACCGAGGTAGTATAGGGTGATGTGCATCGGAGGCTGGTTCGCAGTCAGAAAGGCCGGCTTAAGAGTGGTACTGTAGCGAGCGTCACTAGAGCGAAGTGGGTCATGAGGTCAGCAACAGTGTGGAAATCCGACAGCTCAGGAAAGAGGTACGGCAGCATGATACGGCCTAGGGCAGCAGTAGAGGGGGAGGAGTAACGAGCAACTACGGCATCATAGAGTTCCTTCGCTGTCTTAAGCTGGCCAAAATGGACTCGTTCCTCTAGCGGGAGGTTATTACGGACAGAAAGGCGGGCGGCAGCATCGCGCGTGAGCCACTGGGTACGAAGAACACGATCAGCTGACTCCTCAGGGGCAAGGCAAGAACCGGACGTGTGCTCTAACAGTGAAACGTCCTCCCTAGCTATGCTCTGCAGATACAGCTGGAGATCCGCGAGCCAGCAGTCAAACCTAATCAGGCGACCCTCCGCGTCAAAGGTAAGGACATTAAGAGTAGCCATAGTGGGCAGTAGCAGTGGCAGCAGCAGCAGCAGTAGCAAACAGGTATGGCAGCAAAAGCAGCTCGGCTGGGCAGCTAGGCAGGGCGGCTCAGCTGGGCAGTTCGGCAGGGCGGCTCGGCTGGGCGGCGCGGCGCGGGCGGCGCGGAGCGGCTCGGGCAGGGCTCGTATACTCAGCAGTCCAATCCCTGTCGTGTCTGGGGTTGCGGAAGGTGCAGGTGTGGAGCGTTAGGGTAATGTGGCTGCTGGAGCTGGTGGTCCCAGCTCTAGGGGTGCAGGGGGTGTGGGCGTGGAGGCCCCTCCTGTCGAGGACACGGTTGCCTCGAGTCGACGCCCTCGCCCAACCTCACCCATTGGCTTACCGTCCGTTCCCGAGTTTCCCCCTTGTTTGTCTCTGCGGTCGGTCGCTGCGGAGCCTGGGGTTACTCTTGCATAAGGTACTGGCGGCACTGAAGGGGTCGCTGATGGAGGTTCTGGTTCTGGGGGTGCTGGCGTCGGAGGAGCAGGAACGTTGGAGCCTACACTACGCGCTGTACGTTTCTAGACCCGTGAGGAGCATCTTCTCCGGCTGGAGAGGGAGGAGAGGGAGCTGTTTGAGAGGTCACGCTAGCAGCAGCAGTAGAAGCAGCAGCAGGAGCAGCAGCAGGAGCAGTCTTAGTTGCAGAATCAGGATAGGGTAGAGGAGGAACCACAGCCATAGCAGAAGGTACAGAGGGGTCGCGCCTGCAGCAGCAGGTGCCGTTGCAGCAGCAGCAGGAGTGAGCAGAGGAGTCACAACTGCAGCCGCAGCATGAGAGAGTTGAGGAGGAGTCACGACAGCAGCAGCAGGTGCAGTTACTGCCACAGCAGGAGAGAGTCGAGCGGGAGTCCCGGCAGCAAGAGCAGGTAGAGCTGCAGTCGCGGTAGGAGAGGCCACAGGAGGAGACACACCCGGTGCCACAGGAGCAGCAGCAGGGGCAGGTGCCGCAGCAGCAGCCGCAAGAGGAGGCGGAGCAGCAGCGACTGAGAGACCTACCCGACCCGACACCTGCACGCTTGGTTCGTGGTCCCTCACCGTCCCCTCCTGTTCCCCGTGATGAGTCCCTTTCCTCGTCCCCGTGGACTCGTCGTTCTCCCCTCAGTCGTGCTGTGTAACCCGAGCCTCGTCGGTCCCATTACCGTGCCGACGGCCCGTTTCACCTTGTTCTCCGCTCTCGTGTTCCACCTTTTTAGGTCCTTCCACAGCCTCCTGAGTCATCCCTCATTGTGTTTCACGACCCGTTCCCCGACTACCTCCGTGCCTCTTGCCCTATCGTCTCCCGTGTTCTGTCAGCGTTGGTCACTCACCCGACCGCCCCTCCACTGTCTATCTCAGCCCTTGTCACTACTGTCAGTGCCTTTGCCTCTTCCCACCGCCTTGACTACGCCGCTCACCTGGTGAGTGGCACTGCTCGTTCTTCGTCCTCTAGAGGTGTTCCTATCTTTCCCCTGGAAGTCCTCGAGGATAGGCGGTTCGAGCTTGGTTTCCTGGCGGCCGCTGTTCCCCATCTCTGCACCATGCTGCTAGCCCCTGAGGGGGATCCATACGCCCTTGACATCCCGATCCCTTGCACCCACGCCGAGGCCGTCTCGGGACCCTGGGCTTCCTACTGGATAGCACTTGAGGAGGCAGAGATGGCATCCTATAGATCCACAGGCACCTACGTCAACGCCGTCCCACCACCTGGCATGAACGTCGTCAGTGGCATGTGGCTCTATAAGGTGAAGCGGTCGACTGGATCACCATCAGTGTTCAAGGCGCGCTATGTAGCGAGACGCTTCAGTCAGCGAGAGGGAGTAGACTTTTTCCAGACCTTCGTTTCCACCCCAAAGATGACCACTCTTCAGGTGTTGCTGCACAACGCAGCTCAGCACGACTACGAGTTACACACTCCTTGGACTTCTCCACAGCGTTCCTTCAAGGGAGCATGCACGAGCAGAACTGGCTGCATCGCCCACCTGGCTTCAGTGGCTCTTTCCCTCCTCGAACCCAGTGGCAGCTGCGTCGACCGGTCTACGGCCTGCGCCAGGCTCCCTGTGAGTGGCACGACACACTTCGCATGACACTTGCAGCGCTTGACTTCTTTCCGTCGTCTGCTGACCCGTCGTTGTTCGTCCACCGTGGCTCGACCACGTTCTTTGTTTTGATTTACGTTGATGACTTGGTCTTCGCCACTCCCGACCGACGCGAAGTGGCTTCCGTGAAGGAGGAACTCCAGAAGAGACACACGTGCCTGACATTGTTGAGTTGCAGCGCTACCTTGGCCTGCAGATCATTAGGGACAGGGCAGCTCGCACCATTACGCTGACGCAGTCGCATATGGTCGAGCAGATCCTCACGCAGTTTCGCTTCCCGTTCTCCAAGGTACCGTTCACCCTTCTTGTTGTGGGTCATGGACTCACGTCTCCACCTTCGGACGAGCCCTTTGAGTCCAACGGTCCATATCCTGAGTTGGTGGGTTGTCTCATGTACCTGATGACCTGTACTCGCCCATACCTAGCTTAACCTCTTAGCCACCTGGCGCGCTTTGTTGCACCTGAGAGACACCGACCATCCCACTGGTACGCTGCTAAGAGGGTGGCGAAGTATTTGGCGAGTACATCAAGCATCGCATTTGTCCTTGGAGGGAAGCAGCCAGTTACACTTACAGGTTTCTCGTCCTGGGCCGACGACGCTGAGTCGCTGCGGTCTACACAGGGTTAATGCTTCAGCCTTGGGACCGGTGCTGTCTCATCGAGGTCGACTTGGGCATTGTCATTCTCCAGTTCCAGCTGTGAGGCAGAGGTGTACGCTGCGGCCATGGCCGCCTAGGAGCTTCGCTGGCTGACTTACCTCCTCACCGACCTTGGTGAGCGGCCTCGCTCTCCCCGTGTCTTGTTCGCTGACAACATGTCTGTTGTCCTGTTGTGCAAGGAGCCATGTCTGGTTGGGAAGGCGAAGCACATCCAGCTTCATTATTTCTTTCTGCGCGAGTTGCAGCAGCGTGGCCAAGCCCGCGTAGTACGTGTGGTCTCTGAGGCCAACACTGCATGTTGGTGCAACCCTACGGTTTGCACTCGGCTTGTTGTCCGTGTGCGTGAATGTGTGTGTGTATGGAATGGTATGAGGGCATGGGATAATATATATTTCATGCTTATAATTGTGTGTGTATGTTGAGTCATGATGTCGAGTGTGTGTGTCGAGTCAATAGCGAGTTATCGCTAGACGCGTGTTACGCGGTCGTTTGTGTCTCGCGCGCGGTTTCTATTTTGTCGTGCGCGGTTTCTATTTTGTCCTGTGTCGAACGTTCGGCGTGTCGCAGGTGTGTGCAGCAGACCCATCAAGAACTCAAGGATGAGTTTGTGATGAAGAGCCCGAGCCTTGGTGTCAAGCCTCAAGTGATTTCGAAGCTTGCCAAAAGGGTACACCTCAAGATATTGAAGATAGTTACATTACTTTGTGTAGTGTAACATTTCACTTGGTGTAGGCCCTAGTGAAGGGTAGTTTCGAGACCCTTCGTGGTTGGGGACAGTGTGGCACTGTTCCACATCACTGTACCTCGGCTCTTGGGGTTTGTAGGAGCTGGGAGTCATTCCCAACTCGTAACTCTTCCTATCTTGTGTTCTAAGACTATAGTGGCTGCCATAGTACCGTTCGTTCAAACCGACGCTGTGTCGTCAATTCTTTATCAAATCGTGCAATCTAAATTGCTAATTGTAGACGACGTGAAGACGCTCCAGATCCAATTTGAATCAAGTCATTTGCAGCTGTGAGCAGAACGCTATCAACGTTTGAAGCCGCTGTGCAGAAATCCGTCTGTGCTCTCTATCTTTCGTTTTAGGCACATTCAAGCCTATTGTGACTATAACACTGCAGATATCTTCACCAAGGCGTTGCCGCCTTGTGACCACCAGCGTTTCTGCACCCAACTATGCCTTGAGTCTACAGGCCCTCACATGCTTGCGTAGAGATGCTTTGCATTGTACTCTTGCATCTATCTATAGTTGCTATATATATCTGCTTGTGGACCGGCCTTGTGGCCTCTTGTTTTTGTAGAGATGCTTGTTTTGTACTGTTCTATCTTCTATAATGGTTATATCCTTGCATGTGGACGGGCCTTGTGGCCCCTTGATTGTTCTTGGACTGTGTGGTGATCTTGAGATCCACCCGAGATTCGTTGTGTTCTTGTAAACTGGTCTTGTGACCGTTGCCTGTTCCTGCTGACTAGTCCTGTTACCCTTGCTGCGTGTGTCAAGCTATTTTCTTTCATAGTCCAGGTGTACTTTCTCTTTCATAGGGCTAAGGTTGGGTTTCCTATATCTTGCATGTTAGCACTTTCCATAGTCATTTTCTTACATGTTTCTTAACTTGATAGTACCTGGACAGCTGCTACGGTCAACACATTGTCGCTTCCGATTAGGTCATCCTCAACAGCAAAGAACTCGTCTGCGACGTGGAGATTATTGTCGCCAACAACCAATCAATCTGGGCGCATAGACGCGGAGAAATCAAGCTTGAGTCCAAGGACAAACAAT